AGCTCCACCTGTGCCCCTTCCTCGTGTCCCGGGGCTGCTCCCACCCACAGCTCCCCCTGTGCCCCTTGTCCTTGTCCCAGGGCTACTCCCACCCACAGCTCCCCCTGTGCCCTTTCCCCCCGGCCTGGGCTGCTCCCTCCTCAGAGCTCCACCTGTGCCCCTTCCTCGTGTCCCGGGGCTGCTCCCACCCACAGCTCCCCCTGTGCCCCTTGTCCTTGTCCCAGGGCTACTCCCACCCACAGCTCCCCCTGTGCCCTTTCCCCCCGGCCTGGGCTGCTCCCTCCTCAGAGCTCCACCTGTGCCCCTTCCTCGTGTCCCGGGGCTGCTCCCACCCACAGCTCCCCCTGTGCCCCTTGTCCTTGTCCCAGGGCTACTCCCACCCACAGCTCCCCCTGTGCCCTTTCCCCCCGGCCTGGGCTGCTCCCTCCTCACAGCTCCACCTGTGCCCCTTCCTCGTGCCCCGGGGCTGCTCCCACCCACAGCTCCCCCTGTGCCCCTTGTCCTTGTCCCAGGGCTACTCCCACCCACAGCTCCCCCTGTGCCCTTTCCCCCCGGCCTGGGCTGCTCCCTCCTCACAGCTCCACCTGTGCCCCTTCCTCGTGCCCCGGGGCTGCTCCCACCCACAGCTCCCCCTGTGCCCCTTGTCCTTGTCCCAGGGCTACTCCCACCCACAGCTCCCCCTGTGCCCTTTCCCCCCGGCCTGGGCTGCTCCCTCCTCACAGCTCCACCTGTGCCCCTTCCTCGTGCCCCCGGGGTGCTCCCCCTGCACCCCTTCCCCTCAGCCAGGACTGCTCCCACCTGTAGATCCACCCGTGTCCCTTGTCTTTGCTTCTGGGCTGCTCCCCCCTCACAGCTCCACCTGTGCCCCTTCCTCATGCCCCCGGGCTGCTCCCATCCACAGGTGTAGATCCACCTGTGTCCCTTGTCTTTGCTTCTGGGCTGCTCCCCCCTCACAGCTCCACCTGTGCCCCTTGCCTTCAGGCCTTGGCAGCTTTCTCCCATCGCTCCACCTGTGCCCCTTGTCCTTGCCCCTGGGCTGCTTCCCCTCACAGCTTCACCTGTGCCCGTTCCTCTCACCTCCAGGCTGCTCCCACCTGTAGCTCCACCTGTGCCCCTTGTCCTCACCCCTGGGCTGCTCCCATCCATCATAGTTCCTCCCCCCATCCCTGCAGCTCCCTCATGTTGCTGCTGAACCCTCCCCCCTGACG